GTTATTTAGTTTTGTCTTATATTCAATACATTATCTCAAATATTAATCATACTGATGTCTTATGTAAGATGTTTGATTGTCTAATAAAATGGCTTCAGTTTGGTATACCCATATTAAAATTTGAAACAATGTTTGATTATTTATTTAATGCATTAAATAGTGTACAATTATTTGATAATGCTTGCGAATGTGTTATTGTTCTATTTAATTCACCAGACGCATTAAAGTAAATAAAAATTGTCTTCTCAGATATACTCTGAAAGATCATAATATTATTGTAGGTATCCGACTACATTTACTCGTCTGTTACCTTATGTTTTGAGTCTTGAAACGTTATTGGATCATGCTATAGGATGCGGTGATAAAGTATGTACATCACTTTTATGCTGTTTCTATTAACTCTGTTATATATTTGATATAAAAGAAAAAATGTGAATCTTTAACAAAATTAATAGCAACGTTTGGTGACAATCATGCTAAATTATTATTACAACTAGCATTAACAATGCATCCACAATCTCAACAATTGCTAAATAATTTTTGTAAACTTGTTATGGTGTGTGTGTAAAAATAAACTTTTTTTTTTGTTTTGTATTATTTACGTTTTTTCTGATCTTTTAGCGTTGCACTGAAATGAAAGGACAGTACCTGATTGATGAAACATGTTCAGAACTCACATTTAGTTTTTGGTACGCATTACAGGTTCGTTAGTATTGTATTTGTTCTCTAAAATATTTTTTAGACTTTTTCTAACAATATTTTCTTGTTTAGGAAGAAGTGACATCATGTAAAGATGATAAAACACAAACACTCTGTATGGAAATATGTCGTCCTTATTTTATACGTTTAATTGAAGTACTTATTACAAAAGGACAAATGCCAGAAAATAATCAGGACTACACAAGCGAAGATAAAGAAACATTTCGAAGTTATCGTGTTGATATTGGAGATACAATAGTATGAAAATGACAGTAATGAGAGAGAGATGTAATTAATATCACTTTTTCTATTTTTAGATGTGCATGCATAATGCGCTCGGTAACGAAGTCTTAGAAGTACTAGCTCAACATTTGGCTTTATCTATCGAGCAAAATTCGTCATGGCAGGTTGTTTGTCTGTTCGATAGCAAAAAAGATAATCATTTCTTAAAAATTGAGATATATTTTTTAGCGACAAGAATCCATAATGCAATTAATCGGTGCTGGAAGTGAATATGTTTCATTAGATGAAAATATTTATTTACCAAAAATATTTTCACTTTTACCGAAAATAAACTTTTGTAATAGTTTAATTATAAATGCTACATTAACGGTTTTGGGTATGTAACAGTTATTAATTATCAGCTCAAACGAAGGAAAGACTCAGTAGAAACTTTTTTTATTTAAGGAAACTTCTTTTCATACTTCTTTATCTCCGTATTAAAGATTAGTCCCAGTTTTGAAGACTTGGACTTTTACGTAATTAAAAAAATGTTTCTGTAAAAGAAACTTATTAATCTCTCAATTTCTTACGAGACGTATCACTTTTAACTCGCTAAAAACGCGCATTAAAACATTTTATCGAGCCGAATTATCGAATTTACATTTTGAAAATTGGTGCTCTACCTGAGGATATCAAAAACGAAATGAAAAAGAATGAGATATTTTCTCGTACGCTTAATTTACTGTTCTGAATTACAATTAAATATATGTAACGAGGAAAAGATACAAGAAAATGACGTGGGAATATTTTTAATGCATAAAGGATAACAAAATATATCGTTAGAATACTAAATAACATATTTTCTCTTAAAAGTATGAAACTATCGGTTTTTATCGCGATGGAAATTTGGGATTTTTTACCTGTAGAATTTCAGATTGTTAACGAAAAGATCGATCATAGTGACGCATTTTTACTGTTAACCCTTGACGGCTGTCTACCCTCGATAGCTTTCTATGGGTCTGGTTGGATCCGTTTGAGAAACAGTGAATAAACTCCAAAAAAAAATTTTTGTTTTTTCTCCACTTACCATGCATGGATAGAGAGTCCTCCCCTTGAAAAACAGACGTATGATTAGACAAAATAATGCATCAAAAAAATGTATCTTTTGAGTAGTTGAAAATTCCAGTCATTTGGTTCAAAAAAGACCTCATACTTCAATCAAAACGTATTTGTTAGGTCAAAAAATTTTTTTCCACACATGGTTTATTGACTCTATTGATATTTAGGACAGTATAGCAGCTGGTTAGGACATCATCACGAAATGCTTCAAAATTGTGTGCATTTATGTGTAAATGCGCTATCAAATCCAGAGCTAATTCAATCAGCCTCAATTACCTTAAAAGAATTAACGATGGAAAATCGAAGACGTATGTCACAATACTTGAATGATGTGTTTCCGATAATCAAAGTAACAAAAAAAAAACAAAAAAAAAACGAATATCTTTCACGTATGCTTATTGTCCTTATGTTCAGACGGTTCTCGAAAATGGAAATTTAAATTCGAATGATCGCGTTCGTTGTGTGTCAATAATCGGTTATATGCTATCCGCTTATCCATCGAAAATTGTTAATGATCATTTGAATATTCTATTAGTGCCGGAAGTGAATAAACTATTGGAATATTTACAAAATACAGATAATAGCGTGTGTATCATACATGTGAAAGTGGTTCAAAAATCAGAACAGTGCATTCCTCGTTTTTTTCCTTTTCATCGTACATTCGCATAATTGTAACACTTGGTTTGCTTCTGATTCGATGATTTCCTCCAATGATAATAGAGCTTTATACAATTTTAGTCGATAGCTGTACGCAAAGAAAATATCTGTACAACTTTAAGTTTTATATCTGTATTAATTACTGCCATCGGATATTGTGGAGATCAAAATGATACCGAAGAAGATGAACAATCACAACAACAACTAAATAATTTAGCGCCATTGACAGATTCCTCAGCAGCATCAGAAGTTGTACGTAGAAGACTTGTTTTGAGTTGTAAATACATCATTTATTTATCTGTTTAGCTAACAAGTTTCATGCGTGACCTCGATCCGATTTTACATCTTGTATTAAAACAGTATTCTGATGATAAAGAAGTAACAGAGGTTCGTTTATCATTATTTTTTTTAATTTTGAAATTTTGAATGCAATTCAATTTAGAAAATATGTGAAATTCTTTGTCGAACTATAACAACGTTAAAAGAAGGGAGCACGCCGATATTAATGACATTATTACAACTATTACAATGTATTGGCCCAAATATTTTACATTTACAGTTTTTAAACTTTGTTAGAAATGTATGTTGTGAAATCTCTGGAGAGTTTATTAAAAGCATTGCACAACGTCTTTTACAAGATTTCAACTTGAAAATTCTTCGATGCGATTGCGTCTGTTGTCGATAGCGGTGGTACCGAGAATGGACTTAAACTAGAGATTCATGTTACTCAATTTTGACCTTGTTTCAATTCTTTTAGAGTCTTTTGTTATTTTCTCAAGAGACGAATGAAATAGTATTTAATTTATTTCCTACCGTTTTGCAACGATTTGGTTGCTTATTTAATGGTGGTAAGTTTCGATATCATTGTTTTCGTTTTGATTTTTCATATCTTACAATTTTCTAGATATTCTATGGTTAAAAAATAATGTTGATATTGTCGAAGATTTTGCTAATTTTCTCACACAAGTATGTTACTTGTGCGATTTATATAGAATATTTTTGTATAAAGTTAGTTTGTTTTTCTTATTAGATCATTAAAAAGCTACCGCATGTCGTTAGCCGTTGTCCAATTGAGGCACTTGTTCTTCTGTTTGAGTTTGGTAGGTAAATTTTCGAGTACTCTGTTATGTTTGACTTGATAATTTTATTTTATTAAATATATCTTAGTGAAAAACGGTATTCAGTTACATGAACAATTACCGTTGAGGAGTGTGACAATGTTTACAGTAAGCTAAAAATACCTAATATACTATTGATCTAATTTACATATTTTTTATTTTTGTTCAAGGCACACTACGTTGAATATTGTAAATTGGATAATCGTGCTGCTAATTTATTACAAGAAAACGGTCTTGAAATTGTTCGGATTTCACTAAAAGTATGTGCAACTATCACAGAAGATATGTCTTCGTCTTGGAAAGAAAGTCAATTTATAGTTTTTATATAATTTCGGTTTTTGTCACTGATAGGCCATTGGCGGGAACAGTCCAAAACATTTAGTTGATACACTATCTTTATTATTGTTTACCTTATCAAAACTTTATATTGGTAAATTATACGTTTGGTTGACTTGAAGTAATTTGTTAAATTTTAACCATTGAATTTTCTTTCAATCCTTTAGATTGGACGATAAAATGGGTCCATCAATGTTTGAGTGATCCAAATTTTCCCTCACCAGCCGCCACTACAGACCATCGTGAAGCATTAATTAAAGCATTGACACGGTAGATTCCATACATAACTTCTTGTTCGATTCACCATCGTCTATACTCTTTTTGTCCTGTTTTAGTGAACGATCCAGTCGAGCCAATTTCAAAGATCACATAAATATATTTTCTCAAGCATGCAGAGGCCTTGTATAACTCAAGCCTCACTTTTAATCCATTAACCACAGCTTTTCACATTTTTTGCCTATTAGTTAATTTAACGCTTTTAATACTGTTTTCTATAATACTAGACATGCAATCTGATCGAAAACCACAACACTTTTTCGTCTTCTCTGCCTTCTATTAGAGTTTTTCTTTGTTCTATTTATGCATATACTTAAGAAAAAGGTCCATCTATTTTTTACAGACTTCCATTTATCCTGTGAGATTTACGCTCAGTTTTCCCAGTGTCAGTTTCGTTTATCTTTCAATGGTAAAAGATTATTAAATATAAAATTTGTAAATAATATTTGTTCGTTGTAGTTTTATTATCACAGATAATGTGCAAAAAGTAAATAAAGACTTTTGTATTTAAAAACGTATTAAGAAATGGCTATTTCGTATATATTGTGAAAAATTGCTGCAGAGTCTTTCATTCGCATAAAAACATAAAAAATTAGAAAGAAAAAAAATTATAGTCGTATAAACTGTACAGCAATGATGAATAGCGAAGATATCCGTTAATTCCTGAAATAATTTGATTTAAGCTGTTGTTTATTAATGATGACGTAATAGAAAAAAAAATGGATAATAGTAAACGAAATGAGATACCACTTAACATAAAGTACTAGCGGATCTTTATGATCCATGTTGTACACTGAGAATAAATATCCTGAATGACATACAGCAATGGGCCCACGATGGAGTAACAAATAGAGAGAAGTAGAACAGGAAAAAGAAAGAAAGACAAACTTAAAATGATTAAAGTAGGTAAATAAGTAAAAATTAAAGATTAAAGAGAACATGCACAGATGAGAGGTTGTTATTGAAAGAGCACAAATGATAAATTTAGCTGTACTAGGCAGTCCGCGTGTGTCATCCAACTGAAGTGGGAGTACTTGAAGAGAGAGACAAAGATTTTATTTAGTGATAAATCAGAGCGACGTAACTGAAAATCGTCTGGTATTGTATATCTGGTCACTGACCTCGTTTACAATTATTGCTATCTCATCAGGTGTTAATTGACGTTGTAATAACAATGTTTTAGTATCGATCTTTAGACTAGGAAGTTTATTGTTTAAATTAGAGAGAAGTAGACTTCTTTCATTCTAAAATAATTTCATCTATTAATTTTTTTAATTTCTCGACCTTTGCCACATAAAAACTGTTTGAACAATCGTATGGATCGATTTAACTTGTAGATTTTGAAAATGTGTATATTACTGTGTTATAATCATACCTCAAATGATGAAGATATTGGATATGAATTGATTCTATTAAGTAATCGTGATGAAGAATTTCATCGACCGTCCCTAGCAGCCCATGTTTGGCCAGAAACAAATTATGTTCTTGGAGGTTTGTTTTTATATGCTCTTTTTCCATTTAAAGTTTATTTCCTCTTTTTCTAGGTCAAGATATCACTCCCAGTCGTGAAGGAGGCACATGGCTTGGTTTCAATACACAGGGACGAATTGGTGTTCTATTAAACTTACCAAAATCTACTGATAATGAATCGGATAACAAAAAAAGTAGAGGTAGTCGAGTAAGTCCACTTTGACAGATATTCCTTATACTAATACAAATTTATGTTCATTTATTTGTCGAACAGGCTTTATTGTTCCAAATTATGTGAATAACATGTCTGTCGGTCTTGATTATTATATGAAAAATCTTGACGACACTAAAATGAACTACAACGGTTTTAGTTTTATTGGATTTGAAAAAAATTTACTTTTAGAGTAAGTAATGTCAATATATCTGGCAAATGAAATATCTCTTATTTCTCTTATATAGTGGCTGGAGAGTAGTATATACAAATAATGCATCCAATTTATCCATTCCTGTTGACGTACGTTCGAGTATGTTTAGAATGTTTCTCTGATAAATAGTAAAATACCAGTATATGAGCGGTATATTCATTCTCTATTGTTTTTTTTGTTCTTGTAGAATTTTTTGTACTCTCGAATCATCAGTATGGAAACGAATATGAATTTTGTAAAACTCAACATGGCTGTCAATTGTTGGACAACACATTAAAAGAGTTAACAAATAATTATAAAACAAAAATTACTGACGAAAAACAACTAGTTGATCGTTTGATGATGGTATTGAATGATCAGACAACGTAAGAAATTTTACTTATTATCTGTTATTGTTTAACTAATCTTTATCTTAAAATTTAGATTTTGTGATGATAAAAATATGGGTATCGTCTATCCTGAAATAGCAAATGATATTTCATTATATTTATCAGCAATTTGTGTAAGAATGCCATTAACAGGAAAGAAAAGTACTTATGGTACAAGGTAACAATTTTTTTGTGATTTTTAAATTATGTGTTAAAAATTGTACAATTTATTTTTCAGAACACATACCATTATTCTTGTTCGATCAAATCATACTGGTTTGTATTTGGAGAAAAATATTGAAAATCCATTGGAAAATGAAATGGTTTGGGATGAAAAACGATGGGAATTTCGACTAGGATGCTCGGAACCACCTACCCTTTTAAAATGAGTGGATGAAACTACTGTTAACATTTGATAATTATTTATTTTAATATGTATATGTCCGTATATATTTCTTAAATAAATGTACTATGATAATATGGAGTTGAGAGTTTTTCAGAATGACATAGTTGATTGTGCAGACAACAACACTCAGATCATCTGAAATTTATTTGGAAGCAATTTTGTTAAAAAAAAACTTTGTTCGAACTTTGTTGATTAGATCTGCTATTTAAGCGAGGGTTTTATTGAAAGATGATACATTAACTCAGAGATTCTACAAATCACCTTGAACACATGGGACTGGTGTCTTACTGTTGATAAGCTTTAGGGTAGATTGTTTAATAAGCAAGCAATGGCCAACAACATATAAGTTATACAAGGTTGGATACAAACATTTTGTAATCAAAGAAAGAAAAAGTATAGTATATGATTATTGTTTTCCAGAGGATAATACATAGTAGAAGAATGAATGAATTATCAACTGAAGAAAAAAAAAAAATATACATATATATTCTGATTTTCTCCTTTCTTTTTTATGGACTTTTGCAAAAATCTAGCTTGTTGTTGTCAAATGTAGAACATCATGTAAACAGGAGAAGAGAACATAAAAGAACAAGAAAAAAGTCTATTAGAGGTGTAAAACCAGATAGTGAAATAATCTATTTAACACAAATACATTATAATCTGTCTTCCTCGTTTGCACGACGACAGAAAGATTAAAGCTTCAATCAAGTCAGAAACACAACTAATTAAGTTATCAAATTTATCAAGTATGCTTTTTTCTTCTATGTTTTAACTTTTCCTTAAGTTTATTTAATCTCACATTAGTAAATAAAAAAACTGACTTGAACTGTAAATTACACTCACTTTGTCCATTATGTGCATTTAATTTTGTAACCACTATCTATTTCTCTTACAAAAATTATTAATTCTGTTTTTTTACGCTGTATATGTATATTTTCAGAATGAGAAATAGTTTGAACTGTATGAACGTATATGTGGAACATTCTTTTTTTTTGTTGCAACAAACGCTCATAAATATTATTCATACACGCTCATCTCATAACTGATTAGTTTGATATTCATCAAGGTTAGCTAATGTATTATAAATATTGAATATGAATACTAGGTCGAGAAGATGGTATCTACACTGAAACACACACATCTTTGCCAGAACAAAAAAGATTGCATCTAAATTAGTATAAGGTTATTGTAAATGAGTCAACATCTTTTTTCCTGAAGCATAAAAAAAGTTGTATATTTTAAATTAGAGATCAGGTCTTCCTTTATATTCATACTTTTAATTTTTTTTAGAGTTTGAGACATTTCTTGTGTTGAAAACAATATAAATGAATCATAACTCAATCGACCAAAATAATTTCCTTCTCAAACCAAAAAGTATTTTGAAAAAGTCACCATCGCCAAGATACGAGTCAGATGGAAATTTGTACAATATATCAAAGTTACTTCCTGCAGATGAGAAGTCTCTTCCATCAGAGAGATATTCGAACGAATTTAAGGTATGACTTATCATTTCAATATTCCTTTGCTTTCTCAGTAGTGGACAAAAATGAATATTGAAATGAATTATTCATTTTGAGATTGAGTTTCTATGCAAAATTTTTCTCGTTTGTAGAATAGCGATTTGAACAAAAACAATCAAGAGCTTATGACTCTCTCGTCCAATTTCTCACCCGATCAAAAGGAAGATGATGATGATAACAATAAGAATGTATTTTCATATAGTCGAGTCACTTTCGTCGGTGATGAGTCACACATTAATGATATTGAGCTAAATAAAAAAAATTTCTGTCATCACGCTAACAATATTTGTTTATCGAACAGTGCAGAAGAAGCATGCATTCATCTGCCATCATCTCCGGATGAAGATAACGTAGAAAAGTATAAGATGAATAATAAGTCAGATAATAGAATGATGTTTGTATCAGACAATATAATATTAGATACACCGAGACCATCGAATTACATTGAAACATCATTAGCTGAATTACATGAGAACACCATGCATCGAAAAATATTATCATCATATAGCATTAAAGATAATCATTGTCATCCGATTGTAAACGATACCATTAAATATCAACAGCAACAAAATGATGACACTTTACTAACGCATGTGAATAGTAGATACTCTAATTTAATTATTAAGAGTCACTCTGCAGACCAATTACAGTCTGATTCATCATTGTCGTCTGATGATAATCTGATAGAAAGAAATAGTATATACAGATACAATAAACCTCGTAAACGACACACAACAAATTCTCGTAGGAAAAATAAATTAATAAATTTAAAAATGCATGATTATCCACAATCAACAAGTGATGATGAAAGTTATTGTCAAAACAAACGTCGAAATAACAAACAACATTTATCAGAAATGGATTTTGGTGAATTTATGCTAGAATATCAGAATAATGGAATAAAAAAATCATTTGAAATTCCCCAAGCCAATCGTAGTGGTACTAAATCTTTATCAAATAGTAGGAAACAAGAATGTTATGTGACACCGACCAAACAAGGACAATTTTTGTTGATAAATCATCCAACTACTAACTCAAATGATGAGCGAGAAAATGATCAACAATATCCAGCTATTGTTCAGAATCAAACATCTCTCAAAAGGTAACTAAGGTATTGCTTGTTTTGAGCCAGAAAACAGCCTGCTGACTCTTTAACATCGTCTATATTTTACTCTACGTTTTCATCTCTAATTTTTCGGATTGACAACTTATCGTCATGCTTCTCTCTTCGTTTAAGGCTACTCCCCTCTTTTTTATCCCTCTTAAAAATCGGGGAAGCCAATGTTTGATCGGGATGAAATTTATACTAGAGATACTTTACACTCTATCTCGGTTCGTTTTTTTCTTTTCAAAAAATATGCTTTCCTTCGTGAGATATCCCAAAAATGCTGAAAATCAGACAAAAAACCTGAAAAAAACTAACTTTTTTTGCGTGACTTTCAGCATTTTTGGGATATCTCACGAAGGAAAGCATATTTTTTGAAAAGAAAAAAACGAATCTGAGATAGAGTATAAAGTGTTTGCGGTAACATTTTCACCTCGATTGGACCATTTTTTCGAGGGGTCATAATGTGATCTGATGAAAACTAGAGTTTTACTGGAAACCCATAGAAGAACATGTCCGAAAATTCGGGGCAAAAATACATCGTTTTTCTTTTTCGATATTCTATCTTTGGTATAAATTTCACTTCGATCAAACAGCGATTTCTCCGGTTTTCAAGAGGATCAAAAACGAGGGAGGGGTAGCCTTAAACATTAAATAACGATTCTCTTTCTTATAGTTGTATAAGAGACGATATTGTGGGTATGTCTTCGATAAAAAAGTTACAAGCATGTTTTATTCCAAAGCCACAACCCGAATTAGAAAAGAAACCAACACTACAGTCGTTAAAATCAGCTCAAATTCAAGGTTTAAATAACAATAAGTTTGTGAATAATAACAACATGTCAACGACAATGCCAACGACAATGTCATCTGCTAATCTCATGTCATCAAACTTAAACAAAGATATAGTACTTGATACTCTTGATATTCTTCAGCCAATTAATGACCTCTCTTCCTCTTCTTCTTCATCTTCACCGTTACAAACATTATTTGATATTGCTCGTATAAAAACTATTGATCGTTTATCAAAAATCGATTCTATACGAACGTACATCGAACAACAATTAGGTGTAACAGCTTTTCTTACCCTATATAAATTATTAAAATCACAACATCCAATTGATATGAAACAAAAACCATTTTGCCATTATATTTCATATATTCCACATTTATGTGCATTGATCGTATTAGAAAGTGAACAAATAAGAAAAAAATTAAAATAAATAATGTGGTATTTTTCAATCATTTTTTAAAATAAAAATTTAAGTGCTGTAAGTATTGATGTCTGAACAGAGGCTAATTATCTAGCAAAAAGTTCTCGCAAACGATAATTTTTCTTATTTGATGAAAAAATGCCCTGTTGATTTGATAAAATAGCTCTATGAGAGAAGATTGATTCGATTTTTAAAACTGATAATCATTATTATTATCTTTCGTTCGTTTTATTTCTCAGTGTGATTCATTGTTGTATCAATTATACCTTGAATTAGTTGTCCATTGTTTTCTTTGTCTACGTTCATAATGTTGTTTGAAATGAGAAGAGGCACGTTGTGTATGTTCCCGTGTTGTTCAAGGTCACAATCATGATTATGTTAATGTCATTTTTTATGCTTTGAGTTTGCCAAGTGCGACATTACAGCAGTTACAATATGGTGTTAATCAATCAGTGGTGGGGATGAATAGAAACAATAACTATAAAAAATCTCACTATAAACAATGCTCCCTCAAAACCTCCTTTTTAAAAAAATTTGTTTTCTAGAAATCCTGATAGTATTTTAATTAAAATTTACGTTATTTCTTACCTACATGTGTAATTCCTAACTAGGTTATGTTCAAAATTAATATTTTTTTAAATTTCTTTTATACCTTCACGAATGCAAAAAAAGGTGACCGTATGTGGTTACCGAACAGTATTTTGTTAAACCGGTGTAGTTCCGAATATCGCACGGTAACCCTAGTCGAGACTCCCGGCAAAACTCCAACGGGAGTCCCAAGTTTATGAAAAACTCCAGCAGAAATCGTAAGGAGTCCTGATGACTCTCGCAGGAACTTTCTAAAGTGAAAAGTCCAACATGGAGTCATGAGGAGTCCCAAAAAAATTCTTGCAGGAGCCCTGTTGGAGAAAGTCATGCATGGAGTCATGAGGAATTCAAAAAAAATTCCTGTAGGAGTCTTGTTGGAGAAAGTCATGCGTGGACTCCTACAGAACTCCTGTGCAATCCCCGAGGAGTCCCTGCCAACTCCCCATTCACCGTTTGTTTTGCAGATAGGCAATATATAAATATAATGTAGTTCTATGATAAAATTTTAAAAATTTTCTTCTAGTAAATCAACATTAATGTGTCAACCTTCGATGGGTGATATGTGCTGCAGCGGTACCAGTGATAGTATCTAGCACTTAATTACTAATTAGTTACATGAAATTAAAAAGATGGATCAATAGACCCACAGGAAGTCCCCAAGGACTCTCTTGAAAATCCCCGAGAACTCCCCAGGGACTTCCTTAAGAATCCCATAGAACTCCTGTGGGAGTCTTAAGGAATCCCTCTTGAATTCCTTAAAAATCCCTCCATGACTCCACAGAGGATCCTGCCGGGATCCCGTGACAGGACTCCTGCTTACTCCTGTAGGACTTTTTTTCCAGGACTCCTGCGGGAGATTAATCAGGAGTCTCGACTAGGGAACCGCGATTATCGACGGTATTTTAAAAAAAGGTTCGAATATGGGGAGGATGTCCATTTTCCAAATTCATTATTTCACGAAGACGAATTTTCTCAGCAATGAAGCTAAATAAAACCAAGTCGATACTTAACTTTTTTCCAGTGGGGATAATGATTATAAACCAGTGAACCAAAAACAGTGTTTTATCTTGGAACTTAAAATGTATAGAGACTCAGAATAAAGCAATTCAGAAATTTAAGAAAATTTCCTTTATTTTTAAAAATGTATTATTATTATCTTAACCAAGATGTATAGAACAGGTTTCTTGTACATCTTAAGTAAAAGAAATTTTTTTGCTCGCGATTTTGTGCGACGTTACCATTGCCTAGTAACTGTTCTACCGACGCTATATATACTCATAAAAAAATAAAGTCATATAATATGTACCAAGAATCTCTTTTTTAGATAATTAACTGCCATAAAAAAACCTAGAATAACTTTTACTGTAATAGATCACAGTTCTGATGAGTTCTAATTTGCTCGTCCATTAGAGGCAGTTCTTCAGTTATTTAAATATGGTGTCCTTTCAAAAAATATACATATAGTCAAATATACTCAAAAATAAATGAATTGAATAAATTGAAAGAAAGTCAACTGATTTGTGAGACTACTCCACTCATATAAAGAGTGTTGTTAATGTTATGTTTTTAATAATTTCGTTCAAATACAATTTCTACTACTAAACGTTCTTTCATGTGCTAGAAAATAAATGTCTCAATCGTATTTAGCGATTTGTTGTTGCTAAAAAAACATCACGGTTAAATATGGTTGCAAATCTGCATTGTTGCAGAAAAAATAAATGATTTGCTTCGTCTAATACACATTAGTATCAAAATCGTATATTATGTATATTCCTCGTGCTAATATGTCGATGAATAGAGATCAAATTACAAAGTAACTGTCAGCCGTTTTTAACCAGTTTATTTTAATTTTTATTGCTGTCTTCGTATAAGCAAAAAAAAATGAACTGATTAAGACTTTTTCAGAATTTATACTCACATTTATTTTTCCTGTTTTTTCAGACGTCTGTCTACTTCTGACACAGATTTATTGTTTTGGGACGTTATTGTATTCGAGGTTGGAATAATTATTCTTATTAGAAACATGTTTGTTACCAATAAATGAGTTTTTATTTAGCAAATGAAATTCGTTGTTGCGATTCGTTGAACAATGCTTGTAGATATAATGGAAAAATCAGAATTAGAAACCGATGATAATTGTAAACAGTCAAAAGTACGTTTCTAAGTTGGTTTGTAGTCTCTTTAAAAGTGTTGCTGACATTTTATAATTCTAGACTGTATTACCAGCGAAACTCCGTATGAAAGAGCGTTCACGTTCAAATACAACAGATATCAATGATCCAGAAAATTTAGATTACGAGGAAGAATATAGCGGTACAAACAACAATAATAGTAATCAAGAAGAAGTGAATAAAAATTTATCAGGTGTTGCAATGGATACAGATAATTTATTGTTGGCTAATGATGAAATGACAGGCGAGGAAATAGAAGAAACATCAAATATTTTGCACGAAGAAGAAAACACAGATATAGCTAAAGATGCAGTGAAAACGAAGAAAAAACTCAAAGAAAAGTCACAATCATCAACAAAGAAAAATCATAAAACATCAAAAGTGATCGATAAGAGTAATGATGAGAAAATAGACCACGATGATGAATCAAAACAAGTAAATTTAATTATTTTTGTATTCTTTAATAAAAAATCTATGTCGGCTGCTGCTGCTGATCTGTAGATGAGAGCATGTCTAAATGTTTTCAATACAATTTAATTTATTGATTTACATAGGACGAAGAAGGCGAGTTAAATAGTAATCATGAAGATAGTAGTCATGATTTAGCGATGGGTAGTGACGAAGGCGAATTGGTGAGTATTTCAACAGTTTTTATCATGGTTTTAATAAATTTATTTATCTGCAGGATGAAGGCGAATTAGAAGACGGGGAAATACACGAGACATCAACAAAAAAACAACACCAACCACAAACACAACATCGACGACATCTACCAGCAATCCGTCCGTCACCTATTCAACATTCCTTACTTCATCAGCGTGAACAACAGCAACCTTTAGCAAACAATAACAGCATTTCACATATCCCACTGTCCTCCCAACAGCAAAAAGTTCATTGTCGATTTTTTCTACAAGGCCGTTGTCATTGGGGAGCAAATTGTAAATATATGCATCCAAATTTGAACGACACAAAAAGTATGTATCGCATCTTTTTTCTTAAACAATCGAAGAGTATTTATGTGTTTTTTAGATCAATCATCATACCTCGAGCAGTCTCGTAATACGAATTCGCCACCATCATCTGCTGGTACCACATGGTTGTCACCGCAATCAGCAGCTGTAAGTTTTCATCACAAATTAGGCTATTGTTTATTAGACATCATTCACTTTTCAAAATTTGTTGTAGACGGCATTCTTTGGCAATTCATCAATAGTTCGAAATGTTGCAGCTATTGCAGCGGCCGCGGTTGCATCCCAACAACAAGCCTCAGCAGCACCTGCAACAACATCAAACACTGAATCAGCTTGGGAACGGGGGCTTCGAAGCGCGAAAACGGTATGCTCTGTGAATAAAAATTTTCGAAATGACCATATGCTAAGTATTTCTCATTGTTTCGTTTCAAGCTTCGAGAACAATCGATGAGACGAAAACAACAAGATAAAGATTTCAATGATAAAAAATTTAATTTAACATTGAAAGACGCGGATGAAGAGAAAGATCCAGATGAAGAATTAGTAAATATTGAAAGGTTCGAGTCTGTGAATAATGTAGATAAATAATGTTTGCTTATCTTTGAATTTGTTGTTTTTCGTGCAGACCACAGGTTGATTACGATGATATTATGTACCACAACAATTTTGAAGAGAGATGGCCGATGCAACAGCATTCGAATCCATATAATTATCACAATCCAGGTACTCATATTCCACCAAGACTGCGACATTTTGATCGAGATCAATTGGATCGTAGTGGTGGCTCTAATTTTATCAACTATAATCAGGTGATTATTGTATAGAAGCATTGCTATGAAATGTTCAATTTTTCGTAGTTTTTGTATGTAACTGCGTGCTAGATTCTTGATTTGAAACTCTTTGAATTCTGTAACAGTTGACTCGTACAGGGTACTCATTTTAAACAATAAGGCTGATACAGTTACAGTTATTTTATTGTACACAAACTTTTCGTTGTTTTATGTGCACAATGTTTTTGATTTCTTTTTTCTCTCTACAGGATCGTCGAATACGTCAGCGGGATCCGTATATTGATAATAAAGGAGATCGTAAAGAAAAATTGAAGAATAGGTATGTGATATCGGATAAATGATTGTATCTTTTTTATTCTACACTATTTTTTTTCTTAGTAAAAGTTTGCAAAAGAGCAAAGATCCATCAAAAAAAATTCATCATACATCTCAGTTTCCTGTTCCTTTGTCCCATCATGTACCACACCAACGATATCTCGATGATGAACATCAACCACAACAATTATCGTCGATGGCTAGGCGTGCGGATGATTGGGTAGATCCTTGGGACAGGTATGTATTCTACTTCACTTATGTTTATTTATTCTTTGATAATCGTCATTATTTAGATCTCGAAATAATCGTCGAAATACATCTCGTGGAAGAGAAAATTCTTACACATCGTCCAGTGGGTCATCGTCAAGGTATTTCTTTCAGTCTTTCCTCTACTGGGTTTCTTTCGTTACTGGCATTCATATTGTTTATTTATATATGCAACTAATCATATTTTAAAGATTTTTTATATATAATTTCTTTTTTAAATTATGTGTTCGACTTAATATATAACTATTTAGGTCTTCTGTCTCGTATAGTTCATCTTCACGATCAAATCGTTCACGATCATCATCTTACAGTAGCAGGCATGTATGATTATTTTTCTTTCGTTTTTCCTTCCATCAGGGGCATTCTTGGTATGTGTGTTACATTAAAAGCTGCTTTAATCATGCAATCCTTATACTTTCAGTTCCAGCAGGTTTGTCTCTTCGTTAGCGAGTGTGTTTGTGTATGTGTGTTATTGTGTACGCTTTTACAATTATTGATAAATACAATGACTGAATTCAATTGAATTCAAGACTAGATATGATACTTTACTGTTACCGTTATTTGATAGAGTAACGCGTCACTCTTATTCAGGACCGTTCAAAAAGACTATGTCCAATTTAGTATTCGTTAATTAAAATAGTATTAGTAACTTAGTATTCGTTAGAGTTATATTAAGATTATCATACTTTGTCAGTGTTCGCGTGATGTGATTGTGCGATCGATATATTTTTTATGTTCATTTTGCGTTGTAGTATTGAGAAGGTGAAACATTCTTTTTTATTGGTTTGTTGTAAAAGCATGAATGAAATTTTTATTGCTCAAATTTATTTATTTTATTTGCTATTTCGTTTTTTCATTTTTTATTTTTTAGATCAAGTCGGCCAAGACGGCGTTCACCTTCGGTAACACGCTCAAAACCTGCAAGACAAGAGTAGGTTTCTACTCTACGTTTTGGTTATTTAAGATACTAAGCTCTTTTCGTCCTAGAGTTTTCATTTTCAAATCAGAATAGGAGCTTTAATTTTAAGAAAAGACAGTGAATCAATCAAATTATTTAGCAGCTACTGGTTGTTTAATATAGAAAATTTGTTATTGTAGAAATGTGAAAAATGGTGAAAAACAATCGTCGACTTTAAATATTCCATCGATATCAGTTCCACCCGATGGTGAAAATCAAAATGTTGGTAAAAAGCAGCAGACATCATCAATTGTTGCTCCCACCGAACGTCACAAAACAACATCAAATCATCATTCATCCAATGGAGGAAATCATTCAACGTCACAACAATTAGGAAAAAAAGTATCACCAAATGAAAGTCGATCAACGAAATTTTTGCCTGGGCGAACGATTTCTAGTCATACATTGAAAAAAGCTGAAAAAGCGGAGCGCCCAAAATCAAATTATCGTCATTTGAACCCACAAATCTATCATCAATCACAGAAAGAACAATTACTAAATAAAGATGGTAATAATGAGAAAAAAACAATCAAAAAAGAGGGAAAGTATGTGTACCGTATTGTATTAAACTAAAGTATATATTATTAAGATTTTTTTGATTTTTAGACGATCAGATAGTAGTAGTTCAGGAACATCATCTTCGTCTTCTGCTAGTTCATCACGTGTTCGACCTAAAGCCGTTTCATCCACTTCTTCCTCACGTAGTTCCAGCTCTGAAAGTGAGGAAAAAGTTAAAAATCGTTTAGGTAAGAAGTTAACATTGTTTTTATACAAGTTTTTCACTGAAAAAACTTTCTTTTTTTAGCTAAAGAAAATACAATGCATAGTAATAAATCAGTTAATACTCATACAAAACCTACAATGAATAGACAAGTATCATCATCAGGAAATCGAATAAAAACGTCAGAGAAGAAAGAGTCGACTTCACTCGGTCACACAAAATCAATAACATCTAGTCGTTCAGGAATCATTAATAAAGACACTATTAATCCAAAATCTTCGACATCACACGTATGATTTTTATCATATAATTAATAGGTGCTCTTTTGTAACATCTATTTTTTTAGAACGATAAAAAACGGCGTGATACATCGTCATCCGGTTCAACGACAACGAAAAAGCTAAAAACAGCTAATCATGCGATAAATGAAAGGAAACGTACGTCGCCGCAACCACCACCTCCACCATCAACGTCAATTTCTAGTAAATACTAAATCATAATGTTTTCATTTTTGAATCACATGCCTTATATTCATCTATCTTTATTTTAGCAAGTGATTCTCACAAACAAAGTGCCCATCATCATCATAAAATATCAAACAACACAGCAACAGATTCAACATCTATGGATAGCGATTCAGGTTCGTGTTGTTAGCTTATATACAGAGTTTTTCTATATATCCAAACTTTTTTCTGTTCATAGGTAAAAAGAAACAAAAACAAAAAATTTTGAAAAAATTGGAGGAAGTTGAAAAATTAATTAGTCAGCGAACAACAAAAACTTGAATGATCGTCATTTTTTCAATGATCATAAATTGTACATATGTTATTGTTGTTTGTTGGAAATGGTAGCAAACATTTATGATCCGTACCTGCAATTCATACATAATGTTTCACTATTTTCTTGGTTTTCATCTGTCTTTAATTAGTAGTATTTTCTTTCTCATTTGGTGTGTTTGTAAAATTTCTTCTTTCGCTTTGTATTTTCTTTTGTTTCATTTAATATTTTTTAAAAACTCAGTATGTTTCTTTTTGTTGTTGTTTTTCTCTTCTTTCAATTAAGATGAGTATATGTGTGTATGCTTATGAAAACAGACACAAAAGACATCTTCATTTTTCCTTTTCGATAGAGATACTAAAATGGTTCAGTAAGATTTTTTCTTGCTCTCATTTCTATATAAACAACTTTGCTTTATATAAAGATTTGTTTTCTTATTAAAAATTATACTTCTCATCCTTTAAATATAAAATTCTATGATGAATTTTCTCCAGGGTTGCTAGAAAATGTTGTGCTTATACTATGGCAAGCAAAATTGAAAATTAAATGTCATTTTTATTTTATTTTTTGTCTGCATTTTTTTCTATTACAAAAAAATGTCTTTTTGTTTGTTTGTTTTTCTTCGCGTGTTTTATTGTTTCATACGTTTATTTTTATTTGACGATATGTATCAGTGGTTCTGGAAATAAAACAAAGCAACAATATAACAGCAAAAAAATCGCAAATGAATGATTAATAAGAACTGTTTTTTGTCTGAACTGTTTTTGAAGTAGAACTAAATCACAAGCTAACATTCGTCTGCACGCTAACACCCTTTAGTCGGTGTTCGCTAGAGGACTATCCAAAATATGTTATGAAGTCTTTTCTGATTTGATGTGTAAGCTTCTAATATAAAATCTAGAAAATTTTCTCGAGATCCTCCAAAGATCCCTAGAGGTCTATAAATATTTTAAAATAAAAAACAATGCATGAGGTAACCATTAAGAGTTCAGCATGTAAACAAAACTAGCTTTCGCCAGTTGAAATTAGCAGACACGCTTACTAAAATATTTTGTCTCATAATTCTCGACAATATTATGGGCGCTGTTAGTCGAATAATGAATCTTAGTGATTGAAAACAAGCTCGGCTTTTGCACGATATCCCGCTACTATATTCCAGTTTTTTTCACTTTAAATCGCAGTTACTTTTTACAGTGTGTGAGGAGTCAACTGCGAGAAGTCAACAGTAGTATCCTAAAGCGTAAACAGGCATGCAAAAGCAACCGGTGCTTGCCGGTAACCAACCAGTATCGATAATCGCTCCTTATCGGTTCTTTCAGAGTCTTACCGTATTGTACCGGTTACCGTTACATGCCTAAGCGTAAATATAATAAAGAAGGTGTGTTCATAGTTTACTTTTTATTTTTATTTTTCTATTTACAGACTCTTTTTTTTTGTTGTTTCGCTCGAGCCATTGCTATTATGGGTCGGGGACCTTTGATGACTCTCACTTTTCTTGAATAAATCATTCATTCATTTGGACGTCGGGGGTGTATAAGTATATATAGCCGAACTACTATATACTATACAAAGTATAATTATTTACAATATAAATAATACAAGTCTAATAATATATACAAGTACAACAAATTTACTATATAAACTTTATATAGCATTTTTGTTGAAAAATAATTTCAAGCGGAAATATTCTGAAATACTCTGATAACTTTTAGAAAGTGTCCTATCGGGCGAAGTTTTCCATTCTTACGGGTGGATTCTGCACCTCTGGTCATGTAAAACAGTTCCCTATATGCGTTAAGATACGCTGGAACGAAAAGCCAGGATCTGGTTTAGTCCTTGCTTATCCTATTGTTTCGTTGGTTGGAACTCTAATAGTGAAGTATGGAATAGAATTGAGTAAAAATGAAAAAGTGTTCCACCATGCCAACGGTGGAACACTTTTTCATTATGGGGAACACCAGCTATAATGTCACCATACCTTACAGTAATACACAGTGGAACACCTGCTATAGGAACACCCATTTTTATGGATGACTAACACACCTTTCTTCGGTCGATATTCGCTAGGGAACTATTCAAAATATGTTATAAAGTTTTCTCTGATTTGATGTGTACGCTTCGTAATCTATAAAACTAAAAAGCTTTCTCGAGATCCTCCAAAAATCTCCCCAAAGGTCCAAAGATTCCCAATATAATATGAAGCTAAAACGCTTTCTGGACACCCTCTAAAGAACCCAAGGGACTGGAAGTATTCCTGATAGATTCGCCGTGATAGGCTATCTGTATTCTGTTAGTTTTATTATCTGTGAATGATTTTTTTTGTTATCATAATTGATTGATTTCTGGCGACATCTGTCCCACTACTACAGAAAGAGTTGCCTTAGCTTTTTATCTGTCTACATCAGTAGGTATTTGCGCCATCACTTTGAATATTTTCTCTCTCGTTAAAAAAAAATTTCTGTTTCTGTCCCTTGTGATTGCTTATCCACCAGCCATTTTCCATATTTTGCGTACAGATACATACGCAGGCAGAGACCGCCGTTTTGTCGGACCCTAGACTAAAGTCAAGGGAACAGAGAAGCATTTTGTAAGATCCTAGATTAAAGTCAAGGAACTAAACAGTACGACATCAAAATTTTATTGCCTTCAATAAAATGCTTTCTTCTCTTACAAGGGAACATCCTAAGATGCCGGACTCAGTTTCGACCTCAATCGATAGAACATGTCGAGATGGTTAGAACGCTAAAAGGATTCGTGGTTCTTCCTTCAAAAGTTATAGAGATTTTGCTATTTTCCCCCTAGGGAAAACAAAGAAATTAAAAAATCTATAACCCTGTCTGGGAATGGCGTAGAAGACTGAAATATTTTTCTATGGTAGACTTACACGTTTACATAATACACGGGAAGTTTTAACCTTCTAGGTCTTTTCATTTTTGAGTTACGCGATTTTCCATTCCTAGGAGAAATCCTGGTCTTTTACAATCAGTAGTAGGTGAATATTATCACCTAAAACCTTTAAACTAGACACAAACACGTGTATTATAGATAGTCAGTTGTTTCCCAATATAGAACAAGCATTGTTAAGTAGATAAAGAGAGAAAAAGAGTAGTGCAACCATGTTTATGAAATTTAAATGTTAATTAAAAGTGATATAAGACACATAGAGTAAAAGACTAGGATTTCTCCTAGAAATGGAAAACCGCATAATTCAGAAACGAAAAGACCTAGAAGGTTGAAACTTCCCTTGTATTATGTAAACGTGTAAGTCTACCATAGAAAAATATTTCAGTCTTCTACGCCATTCCCAGACAGAGTTATAGATTTTTTAATTTTTTTGTTTTCCCTAGAGGGAAAATAGCAAAATCTCTATTTCAGACCCCCCCCCTTCTCTATTTGAAGGAAGAGCCATGGGCATGAATCCTTTTAATGTTATAACCATCTCGACATGCTCTATCGATTGAGGTATAAATGAGTCGAAACTGAGTCCGGCATCTTAGGATGTTCTCTCATTAGAAGAAATGTAAAATTAGACTGGCATTCGTCAAATGAAATCTGTTCGACGGTCTTATTAAATATTGAAGCCACGGAAAAAGACTTGTATTGAACAGTGCATTGATGTGCATATGTGTACAAATTTATGTTCTTAATGATACTCTATACTTTTATGTTCGTTCACTTTCATCGTTTAGTAACAAATTGAATTGAATGAATGATTGTACTGCTCGAATTCAATTTAAATTTCTTTTCAGAAAATAAAAAAATGTCTGTCCATGATGAAGATGAAAATGAAAATGGTGAAATGTCTATAATCGATAATAACCTTGAAATGAACAATGAAGACAATGGTGGTGGTATGGAAGTGGAAGAGGAAGATGATGAACCATTTACAATTATTCGAAATGAAACAGATGATACAGTGAAAAAGAAAAAGTATCTGTATCGTTTACCGGAATGGATGTCTACAAATGCCGTTCTGTTCAATGCTGGTGATTTGACAAATGACGACGTCGATGATCAGAATGAAATAGAACAGTTAGAATACATTGATAATGATATTTGCTCAATTTTAGTTAACGATCTTTCTATTCGGCGTTTGTTTCCTGTTCAAAAACAACTTATACCGTACATAATTAAGCAAAGTAAAACTATCACATGTGTACCACCATCGGACATATGCGTCTCATCACCAACTGGTACGGGAAAAACATTGACATATGTTATACCTCTGTTACAATGTATTCGTCATCGTATAACAAAATCAATTCAAATATTAATCATTTTACCTGTACAAGATTTAGCCGAACAAGTATTCAATGTTATTAGTGTATTTACAAAAAAATTGAATTTAAACGCAGCGCTGATATGCGGAGGAAAATATTCATTTGAATTTGAACAAAATTTACTTCTTAAAAAACAATTAGATGGAAGTAAGTATGACGATGATAATAAAAGTAATTCTCACAAAAAAACCTTCGCAGGTCACTCAAAGCTTTTCTAATTAAAACTAATTTTTGTAGGCTAATTCTTCATGCTGATCACCGTTTGTGCCCTTATTGAGTTTCTGAACGTGTTTCTAGACGTCTGGTCTCTAGAAATCCATGATAAGTCTGAGAATCAAGAGATTCTGATCTGACCGGGTTGTAGAGCTCATAAAGTTGTCTCTGTGGAAAAATTTTTAGAACTACCAAACAACTTTTGATAGAATTATAAAAATATTAATCTCAAGTACAGCGAAATAACTGGCTTTCTCAGGTGTTTTGATAGTAAGTTTTAAACTTGTTTGGTAATTCTAAAAATTTTTCCACAGAGACAACTTTATGAACTCTACAACCCGACCAGATCAGAATTTCTTGATTCTCAGACTTATCATGGATCTCTAGAGACTAGATGTCTAGAAACACGTTCAGAAACTCAATAAGGGTACAAACGGTGATCAGCATGAAGAATTATCCTACAAAAACTACTAGTTTTAATTAGAAAAGCTTTGAGTGACCTGGTAGATTCTTTCGTCAGTAAAATGTATTTAAATCTCTATTACTTTCCCCAAAAACATGTGCGATTTCTTTTCGTTCTAGCTTATACATGTCCTGTAGACATTGTTGTCTGTACACCAGGTCGTCTTGTTGAACATTTAACAAAAACTCATGGTTTCAATTTAGAACATTTACGTTATTTAGTTATTGATGAAGCTGATCGTATTATCGATGAATTTAAACAAGATTGGCTTCAAATTCTCGAGTCATCTATTTTTACTCGTATACATACAAATCGTATACATCCAAAAGATTTTCAGCCGTCTATGATGAGTTTGGGAAATATGAGACAAAATTCATATCAAAAATTATTATTTTCTGCTACGTTAACACATAATCCGGAAATATTACAACAATTAAATTTATTTCGTCCTATATTATTTTCGGACAATAAACGAACATCATCTGCCGTATCAGTGCCATCCAATTTAAAAGAATATTATCTTGTATGCAATATACTCTATAAACCATTGACCGTTGCTTATCTAATACAAAATCAATTACATTCGGAACGTATTATCATATTTGTTCATTCAAAAAATGATGTCAATCGACTTTATTCATTGTTAAAAATATTATTACCAGATCAAACGAAGTTAACTTTTATATCGAGACATTTAAATATGAAAAAAATTCAAACACGTTTAAATCTATTTGAAAACGGACAAATACAAATTATTGTTTGCTCCGATATTATGGCGTATGTATCAAATATTTCTGTATTTGTATAATTTTTATGCGTTAGTTTTACTGTAAATATTCATTCATAGATAAAGAATTGAGATTTCTTACTTGACATACATTTTGATATTATATAAAACTCTTGACTCTAGTCTTACATCAGTTCCTCTTATTTCTAGAACATTATTTCCTTATTAAAAGCTATTTTTTCATCTTATCTAAAAAGAAAATAACAGTTAATATTTGTTACTATGGTTCTATTTTAGTCGTGGTATTGATATATCAAATATTGATTGTGTTATTTTATATGATTTACCTCGAAATATTCGTACATATATTCATCGTGTTGGTCGAACGGCACGAGCTGGTAAACATGGAACATCATTAACTTTAGTGGAAAAAGAACGTTTAAATTTATTTCGTTTAAATATCAAATCGAAGCGCGGAAAAAAATTAAAATATATGAATGTTACAAAAGAAAATTATGAACACATGTTTAATGATTATCAACAAGCATTAGAAACATTTTCACAACAACAACAGCATTCATCAAAGAAAACAAGACAAAAACGACATACTTAGCTGTTTGATTAATCGTTGAAATAAAAAATTTATCAGAATGTTTTTATAACCAGATTGTTCAAATGCTTCTGACTTAAGAGACCATGCTATAGAATTGACTTCTATCCAATTTTAATCTTTCACTGACTATTTCAGATCAATAAATTTTGAGTTTTTGTTTAATGATGATGAACGACCCAAAAAGATCTACAGAGGAAAATGAAACAGATCCCAACAAAAATTCAATGAGTAAATTGCGTATAAGAAAATTATGTCTGAATATTTGTGTTGGTGAAAGTGGTGATCGTTTGACGCGTGCCGCCAAAGTTTTAGAACAATTAACTGGTCAAACACCTGTTTATTCGAAAGCTCAACATACTATTCGTTCATTTGGAATTCGACGTAACGAAAATATTGGTGTTTGTTGTACGGTTCGTGGGGAAAAAGCACAAGAAATTTTAGAGCAAGGATTGAAGATTAAAGAGTTTCAATTAAATAAACAATGTTTTAATGACAATGGTACATTTGGATTTGGTATCGAAGAACATATTGACTTAGGAATAAAATATGATCCAACAATTGGAATATTTGGAATCAACTTTCTTATTGTATTAGGCAGAGCCGGTTTTGATATTAATAATAAAAAACATCAAAAATCACCCATCGGAAAAGCACATTGTATCACTAAAATTGATACGATGAAATGGTTTCAACAAATTTATGATGGAATTTTAATGTCTTGAAAAATTTGTTTATCGCACAATACAATCATTACTTTCTATTGTACATGGAAACTATGTGTTCTATTTATTGTTACACGCTATTTATTTATTATTCTCATTTTCGAAGAATAAACATCTGATATTTTGGGATAAGCCTAGACGAGTATTTTTGTTGTGAATGTGAACTCATTTTGATCATCAGTTTAGCCGAGAGAAATACTTAATATATTGTATTTTCCTTAATAAAAGCTACAATTGTAGATTATAATATGTTTTCTTTTTACAGATCATTCTTTTTATTAAGAAAAACGAAAAGTTTATTATTATACATGGATCTAGCTGGAAAATTAGTAACTAGTGGAAGTAAGTATTAATATCATAAACTTAATATGAAAAAAAATATATCAGACGTCACGCGGAGAGACCGTATGAACAATTAAGATTCATTTCTTTCGTGAAATCGTTGCATTCTTATTTACTTAGTGTCTCATGCTTCCAATGTATCCGAAGTTGATCCTTGCTCTGGTTGCGAGAATCCTTGCTCGATTCATCAAACTTATCCACCAGAAATAACAGCTCAAATAGATCTAGGCAAAATGTCAGGATCTGTAGAATCACATCGTCGTCATTTATGTATTGGACAAAATTACGAATCAGCAAAATGGCCAAAAGATGTTAAAAATCTAAATGATTATGTTGAACAATTAACAAAAGAATTAAAAAATTTTAAAGACTATTCTGTCAAATTAACAGCCACGTCAACAAATGTTGATAGTAATGACGCTGATGTGGCTGACTGGTATTTATTTCCTGATCTCATTCGATTCAGAAACGTGAGAAAGGATCAAATAACAAAATTAATCCAAGTTCTATTTGTTGATGATCAGTCAATAATAAAAATCAAAGATAAACAAAATAGTGTTACTAATCAATTAGCTGAATTAAATCAATCTAATAAAATGACAACAAATTTCATTCCCGCACTCGCCGATATTCAACACGAGAGACTGACTGGTGTATGGTTATTAATATGTTGTCATAAAACACGAGATGAAAGATGCGGGGTGGCAGGTCCGATTCTGGTAGAAGAATGTCAGAAGTATATTCAAGGTGGAAATAAAGATGTTCATACATTAAAAATTAGTCACATCGGTGGTCACAAGTTTGCTGGCAATGTTATCGTTTATCCTAACGGAGTTTGGTATGGAAGAGTGTTATCCTGTCATATACCATTGATTATAGAAGCATATTCCGACGGTAATGATGAGAAAAAACAAAAATTAACACCGTTATTGAGAGGACAGTTAGACATGAGTTGGTAAAAGTTTATCCATTTGATTTAAATTTCATTTAATACAAGCAGACATAAATCCATTATTGTATTTGAAAAGTTAAACGGTCGAAAAACATAAAACTAATTCCTAGTCAAGTAGGGGCTATTTCTTTTCGAAAATTTGCATTTTTAAATTGTTAACTATTTTACTTTTTTAAATTATTAAAAATTTATTTTTAATAATAACAGTGTGTTTGATGAATTAAAAATAACTCTCAAGAACAAATTACACAGTTTAAGTCAGACGTTAAGAATGAACAAAAATCCATAAAAGTATTCTCAAATAGAATTCTCCATCAAGTGAACGTGTTCATATGGAGTTGGAAATTTATAAGTTTTCAACGAACTCGTACAAACATAGATTAAGAACTTGTCTTTGTTGGCCTCTAGTTTCCGATAAAAGTATTGTGAAACTTTTATTTCTAGTTCTTGATCAGTTAGTGATCTGAATTGTAATGTTAATTTGCGACAGAGCAGTGGCGGGCTCGCTGGTCGGCCGGTCATATATTTTCCTAGTGTGTAAGTGTAAAAGCCTAACGACAGAGGAGTGCTAAGGCTTCTGGAAAAACGTCCATAGCTCCGGAACCATGAATTTCCAAGATGTCTCTTAGATCCAGTTTTGTAGAGGACACTTCGGACTATATATGTATGAAAACAAATCTATAGATTTCTATGTTAGCTTTCAGAGAACAGAACTGGTTTTCCACAGATCTCCACGGCCTTGTATTTTAGCTCCGATAATAGTGCAACAAACATTAAACAAGAAAGAAAAACGAACGGAATATTCAGATAGTAGAGATTAACAGTCCTACTCTCGAAGACTGTGGACAAAAAAGAGAAAACCAAACTAACTTTCTTAATCTGAAATATGAAAAGCTTTGTTTTACTTAGCTCAGCAAATTCGTTTTCGACAAAGTACTAATTTTTCAGACAAAAAAACATTTTCTTTCTCGACCGACCGGTCGGTCAGAAATTCCTGACCGGTTACATCTCTGCCCCGGACGACATGGTTTAGAAATTGCCATCCAGTCGGTAGAATCCTGGATCCGCCACTTCGACAGAGAAACGAATAGATTGAAAAATCCACTGCTGAAATTAAATGGTGAATGTCGTTAGTGAGTCATTCTGCTGTTTCCACTATGACGCTAGATGTCATGATAAGAGATGGCGCATCGATGAGTAAGAAATTTTTTTTATCGGAGGCTGCTATACAACGGCAAGATTGACAGTGGAATATGGTTGGTGCTCTATCGGAGTTCGAGAGATTGTATTTTGCGGTTTGTGGTTAGCACCTTCAATATGATCATGATGTTTAAATTACATGAACAATCATAGAACTATCAATTTGTGATACTTTTAGTTGACAAAGGAAACGTCAGCCAAATATGAACCATAATTCTTGGCAAACACCATTCGTAAATATCTTCAAACATTTTGAAATTCAATCATGGAAAAAATCATCGAAGCAAGGCGATGTTTCAGCTCTGATGGTAAATTATTTGATCGAAAGATCTCCTCGGTTTAATACTGCAACTGGAGTAAAATTCCTGACACATTTCTTTTCTATTTTGAAGTTAGTTCAGCACAGTTTATGTTTCTGAAGCCTGTTGCTAAAAAATAACTTAAGATTTGCTTAATTTAAACATTTGACTTTAGTCAGAATTTTTTGCTAAGTGAGTTTTTCGAAAGCATCTTAACGTAAGGAATCTCTCGACCACTCTTCAGTTTTCATTTAATTTTTTAAGTGAAGGATTATTTATAATTTGTAACTGCTTTATTTTACGTTTTTTCGTAGTCAGACACACAATAATTAGATAGAAGATAACTTTATTTTGTTCACAAAATTTCATAAAATAATCTAAATTTGTTAGAATATGAGTGACTTTTACTGCATCACCGCTGTTTAACTTAAGCTTTTTTGAGAAACGCACTTAAGCGGAAACTTAAGTGTCCCTTAAGTACTACTTAATTTTTCCCTTAAAAATCCACTTAAGTGGAATACTTGATTTTGAGAAACAGGCTCCAGGTCAAGACGTTGGAGAGTTCTGGGTGTATTACTATTCAAGATCTGTAGAGAACACAAAGTAGAAAAAAGCGTGACTGAATTTTACTCCAGTAGCAGAATTACATGATCAAGTCGTACTGATTTTTCTATTGTACAATTTTGTGATCTAAATCTAGATGTAATATAGATGAATGTTTCTCTTCCGCATGCAGGTTAGATGACATTTAATGGTTCTTATTGTAAAAGTAATGTGGATTAGCACTTTTGAATTTCATGTTTCGAAGATCAGAGAACTATAATTCTATTTTTTATAAAAATGTATAGCACGGGAATCGCGAGATTCAACGCATTGCCAGCTGTAATGGTCCTACGAAACGACTAGATACTTATTAAGTAATAGATCAAAATTGCTGATTGTATTTATATTTAGGATCGAGATTTAAAATCCACAGTGTTTCGCATTCGTGGATTGATTCCTGCAAATAATTTCATTCAATTTCCATCTCAATTGAGCCAATCCCTCGGTTTAACCGGTCGTTTCTTTTACATATTATTTCACTCTGTATTTGATAAATTTTTTAGTATCCATCTGGATATTATGACACACGAAAATCATCTCGTTAGAATATCATTATCAAATTTATTTCGCGAATTTAAAGTATCTACTACGTGCATTCAATTTCCCTATATGACATCGAATCCATCATTGGCTATGTTAAAAACAACTTCGTCTGCATTCGATTCACAAATAAAAACATCCTCAATTGATGTTACATCAACTGAATCACGGTGGTGTGTGTTGTGTTTAGATTTAGAGAAAATTCTTTCCACTTATATGACAAATCAACGTTATCATTATATTAAATCATTTCAATTATGTGGAAATATTTTTGTTAAAAATTGCTTTACATCGGATAATTTGTATGAACCAGGAGTCACAACTGTCGATGCTAAACGGAGTGTGTTAACAAAAGGAACGGGTGTCAGATCATTACCAAAAGAATTAGCATATCCTTTGGGAAAGAATCAACAGTGGCATGATATTTACGATTATGTGATGTTTCCTTCCTCATCAAGTACTGGTTGCGATTCCAATCAATTTGAACGTGTGAGAAATATTCATTCATCAATTGATTACAAGGCAAATGAAAATGGTAAGTCAAATGGAAATATTACTGTCAATGATGATATCGGCAAACCATCAAAAGTACAAACAAAAGCTGCCAATGGACATTTATCCTGTTCATCATCTGATTTACAGCACATAAATCAAAGAACCATACTACCAAATAATAATCAAGTAAGAACATGGTCATGAGATGAAAAAACGCGTTCTTCTCCTTCACAGACTAGTCTATTCTCATTCAAATTTTCTAATTTATTGCAGGAATCATGTTCTTGGACAACATATAATGACAATCGTAGTCCATATCAACCATTACCTACCACCATTAACGATCAACAACCGAGTACATCACGTACAAACAATAGTGAAGGTGTTCATTTATTTGCCAATCATCAAACGATAAATTTTAATAATTGTTCTATACACGATGATAATGATTATAATGACTTCTCATTGGAAAAGACGATAGATGAGAATGGCAGTCATCTATTGACTCGCTTATTACCGGATCCAATTCTTCGTTTGAAAAAGGTAATTGGTATTGGAATAGCTGGTGATGAAAATGCAACAACGACAAGTGGAACCTGTAAAGATATCTTATGGACCCATGATGGTGATTATATTCTTTATCCATCGAATGCTCTTGTTATTATGATGCATATTGAAACACGACAACAATACTTTTTTATTGGTCATACAGATAAAGTAACATCAATTGCCTTAAAAGTAAATTCGACGTTATTAGCAACTGTTCAAAAAGGATCAAACGGTATTACTTTACATTTTTTTACTTAGTGATTTTGAAATTCGAAAAGTTCATTTAAAGTCTCCGTTCTTTTTTTATGGTTAAAGCTCAATAATCTTGTTCTCTTTTAAGCTATATTACGTATATGGAAACTTGAAAGTCGTCGTTGCATAGCGGTCGTTAAAGTACCAGCCATCAAGTTATGTGCTGTAGATTTTGCGCTTGATTCTAATAGTCTTGTTGTTGTTGGACATAGTGGCGTTTTAGAAGATAAACAAAACAGTTCAAAAACAATTGTTTGTGTTTATGATACATCGAATTGTTTAAAAGGTACAATAAATTTAATATCAAAAACGTCGACAGATTCCACTATTGAACGTATAAAATTCGTACCATATGATAGTTCAAAATTTGTAACATGTGGTCGTGATAACATCAAGTTTTGGCGACTGAAAAATTCAGTAGAACTGAAATCCATGAGTATATCCGTTGATGATATACAACATTTAGAGTATACGGATATTCGTTTTGAATATATTACAAAGACAAATTTAAATCAAAACAATGAACTTTTGTTGTATATTTCATCAAAAAGTGGTCACGTATTAGAATTATCCTATAATGAAAAACGTGTATTACGTATTCATCGTTTATTACCGTTGAAGCGACCAACGGGTTCATCCGATAAAATGACATTGGCTAATGCACCATCAATCGGTGTTAATGCATTGACTGTGACAAGTAATTTTTGCATAACAGGGTCAAATGACGGTTATGTACGCGTGTGGTCAAACGATTTTCAACAAGCATATATTGAAGTTCAGCACGATAACTCGATATGTGGAATAGCTATTTCGGATGATCAAACACGTGTACTTGTATCAACAGTTTCTGGTTCTCTGGGTATATTAAATTTAGTTAATAAGAATTATTCAACCTTGATACGCTCACATATAAATTACGTTAATGACATTGATTATGATGACATAAAAAAACAAATGATTAGCGTTTCATCAGATGGCACCATTCGAATATGGTCGTTTGAAACAGGCGAACAATTGTATGAGTTTACATCTTTGAATGACACACCATTGTTGCTAACATATCATCCGAACAAACAAGCATTTGCAGCTGGGTTCAACAATGGAGCAATCAAAATATTCGAACTAAATACATCAATTATATCAGCCGAAGTCAAGTAAGTGTTTTTTTAGACCATCGTTATTCGTTTTCATAAGTTGAATACAAATTCATTTAATCATTTTATCATCGTTTTGCTTACAGGCATCATACGAGTTCTATAACTGGTCTGTTGTATTCTCATAATGGCTTTAAATTACTAAGCAGTGATTCTGATGGCAATTTATGTTTATCAGATGTAAATGATGGGTATAAACTTCAACGTACTATTGCAAAAGCTTTACCGGTAATCAATTCCAAATTGTCACCAAATTTGCGTGGAAATTTGTTAGCAATTAGTCCTGATGGAAAACATACGGCATACATTGGCCCTACAGAATTCGTTGTTACTGTTGTTGAGACAAACAACTTGAATCAGGTATGTTTTTATATGGTTATGAAAACTATGACAATTTTATGTGAAATATTTAGACACTTCGTATCGATATTAGTAGTTGTGTTTTGAATGATACAAAAACAGTCGATGAATCAGCTGTACTTGTTCGTTATTCACCCAGTAAACATTTATTGGTTGCTACATCAAATCAAAAATTATTGAAATTAGATTCACAGACCGGAAAATTGTTAAATATTGTAAGTGCAGCAGTGTTACCTGAATTATTCTAATCAATTTTTTTCTTTCAGATCAACTGTACGCATAGACGTTCATTTGACAGTTTAGCATTATCATCCGATAGTCAGTATTTGATAACATCTGGTGATAAGCTGATTAAATTTTGGGATTATAGTATGAGCCTTGATATCAACTTTCAAGTGAGTTGTGAATAAAAGATATCGGTGATTGTCATAGGTTTTGTTTTTTAGAGCTTTGTAGGACATTCAGAACCTGTTAGAAAATTATTTTTCACACCAGACAATATGAATGTAATCAGTATTGGTGATTCCATATGCATATGGGATGTATTAGCTTGGTCAACACCGTTACCATTGGTGCTAGAGTATGTTGTCTGATCTAATAGTACAAAAAAAAATCGTTTTTTAACGTTATTTTAGCAATGCACAATGCATTGTACCACCACAGTCTGTAATGAAAAAAAGTAAGTAAACACAAGTGTTTAGTGAACGTGTAATGTAATCACATTCTTACGCATTTAGTGCATGAACAAGATGACACTGTCAACGGCATGCCACGACATCCTCCACAACCCTTCAATTATCATGCCACTGGTAAATAGAATGTTTCTATAAAAATGGGTTTAAGAAAACATGTATTTGTTTGTTCTTTTGTTGATCTACAACGATCGGCATCAACAGATATAGAAAAAATAAATACAAAGCAAAGAATCAACGCGGACAACATTCGACAATCTCAGGTAAGTATCTAATGAATGAAGCGCACTTTAGAGTTTAAAAGTATTGTTTAGAAGTTAAAAGTTAAGAGACTTTGACAGAAAGTTAAAATAGTTATAATTCAGTTTGTTTACCAAGGATATAACGAGATGAATATATTAGTAAAAGTGAAGGCAAAAAAGCAGCATGCAATAATAAAGTCTCAATTAGTTTGGTGAGAAGAGTACAAATTCCACAAAGAGGCAAAAAGGAACGAAATGAAATGAAGTCTTTCTTTATGTAACAATTGCTGAAGCCAGTTCATCTGCGTCGTAAACAAAGAAAACTAAAGCCAGTAGTATAGTCTACTAGGGGTGATATACATCGTATTAGACATTCGATTCTTTCCTTCTCCTACAACACATCGTTTTTACGTACCTACTCGAGTTATAACTTTTAACTGTAGTTAAAAGTAAAAACTCTTTTTAGCTATGACTATTTTAAATTTCCAACCAAAAATTGGAAATTTATAAATAGTTATAGTTATAATTATTTATAACTGAGAGACTTAAATTCTTCAGTGGTAAAGCGAGCTGATCGCTGTTTGTTCCCAAACTAAAACTCTTATGTACTAACAAAAACAGATTTTTGCTTACTACTAAGATGAAATATTGGTAATAATTATGACTTTTTAGAGCGCTCAAGCAATAACAAAATCTTATTCTAGTTCAGAAATCAATAACCGTTTAAAACAAAAGTAATTTTTTTTGCCGATAGAGTTAAGCTTTTTAGGTTGGATAACTTCTCTGTTTAGGAAATCAACTAAAAAAGTCTCTTCGAAACACATTGAAAATGGTTCTCAACATTCAAATGTATCATCCCCATCACAAATGATACCCAGAATAAAGCGCCATTTTTTAAAACGTACAAACCGCTCAAAAATCGCCAGAGTAACATTTATATAAAAGTTTCTTAGGTGTAGAATTCATGTTATTTTTTTGTAATAGAAACGTTATCTGGCACCATTGAATCAAGACGGTCTGAAATTGTCATCAATTATTGGTTACAATGGAAATGGACGAGAAAATGTTATTTGGCATCCCCAAACTGCTTTATTTGCATACAGTATGGGATGCAATGTTGTTGTTGAGAATTTGAATCAAAGTCAACAAATAGTCTTATGCGGTGAATACTCGAAAGGATATACATTTCTTAAGCATCAAGTCTTATTTGTTTGATATTTAATCAATAGGTCACACAGAAGAAATTTCAATATTGGCATTAACAAATGATGTGACTGTTCTGGCTAGTGCACAATGTTCATCTTCCTTTGGTCATGACATGCAATCTCAAATTATCATATGGGATATTAAAAGTTTAAAACAAAAGTTATCTTTACAACAATCGGTTTCTGCTATTAATTGTATGGCATTTTCAAGGTGAGAGATATAACATTGATACCGTTCTATATTGCTCTTAAACATCTTTTGTGTTTTTAGAGACGATCGATTTCTTGTTACCGTTGGTAATTATGTGAAACCCCAATTAACTCTATGGAATACATGTGATTATACGAATATATTGAACTGGGAAGATGAATCAAAAAAGGAAAGGTGTATCCATTGCTTAGCGTGGGACCCATCACATGCCAATGAATTTGTGACAGGTGGTTCAAATGGTACAATTAATTTTTGTACAATAGTCGAAAATAACTCGAATAATGTTCGTTTACATGTAGTTAACCAAACAATACCGTTAACATTAGTTGAACATTTGAATAATTGTGAAATAACCTCATGTGCCTATATTACAAATGGAAATCTCGTTTTATGTTCAACCAATCTCGGTTTTATTACATGTTGGAATACAAGAATAAACGTTTGCATGTTACACTGGAAAGCTGACCAAAACGAAATATCTTATATGATTTCTATTAAACATAAATTAATCACCGGATCATCAGAGGGTTTACTAAAATTATGGAACATCGAACATTTAGAATCGAACATTACGAAATCAGCTAATTTTAATAATAGCACTGTACACAATGAAATGTATGTAGTACTAATGCATGTTATCCTCCTACTTATTTGACTCCATTTTAGTAATTTTGGTTTAACAATTCAAGACGAATTTCAGTTAGATGGTGCAATAATTAGTGGTGGATTTGATTCTACATTTGATATGGGTATTGTTGGAACGACAAATAGTTCATTGTTTTGTGTTTGTTGGTCAGATCGTTCAAAAACACGTTTAGTAGCATCTCACACAAATACGATTACTGGAATTGTACCTATTGAAGATACACATTTGATAACATCTAGCGAAGACGGTACAATAAGATTATGGCAATTAGATGATAGAGATGAAATATTAAGATTTGATGCTAATGGACTTGTACGTTGATGCTAATTGCAAATAAAAGACTTGAGTAAGAAAACCTATAAAATAAATATAAACTTTTTTTAGAAAGTGACGTGCATAACACCATGGGAAAATTCAATAACACCCACAAATGATTGTCGTACGAGTCCAGTGAAAAATATAATAACAAAGATTCGTTCCATTGTTGCTGGATATGATGATGGAACACTTCGACTATTTAATTTGCTCTATGCACAAATGGTTTTAAAACTCCATCCACATACAACATCAGTAACAGCTGTTCATGTTCCAGTTAACAGTGAGTGAAATCTATATATTGACATACCTTTATCATTTATATTTTTTTTATATTTTAGATACAATTGTTGTGTCTGGTGCTAAAGATGGCACATTAGTCATATCAAGTTTAACACAAGGAATTGTTTTACGTGTTTTGAATGAGCAACGAAATGCGCCGATATGTTCTATTGACTCGAAATATTTACCAACGTCTATTGGTAATGAAGATGTACCATATGTGTGGTCTGGTGAGTAATCTAGATATATTCGTATAGGATTGTTAAATATACTGCTGGACAAGCCCATTCTACATTTACATCTGTTTACTACTCAGAAAATGTTGCAAACATGTTTATGTTTGAACTCTATACTCAGTATTAGGAAATGTTTGTTTTTAGCAACGAGTCATGATCGACGAGTCAGCATATGGAAATCAAATAGACATTTTGACCAATGTCAATTAAACGATTGGCTAACGTTTGTAGCGCCACCATTTGCCCCAGATGGCACATCGTACGAAAACACAAAGGTAGCATCAATCTCCCGTAAATTTTTTTTTTACAGAGTTTCGATTCAACTCAGTAATGTTTATTTAGAAACACGTTTTTTATGCAAGTAAATTGCAAACAAATTTCCCGTTTTATGTTTTTAAGAACTTCATCTCAAGAAATATTCATCTATTCCTTTCTTCTACTTTTAGAGTTGGGACGCATATCCTCCCAGTCTGGCTTATTTTTCATCAACAGATGATAATATTCTTATTTATGTGGGATATGGTATTGAAAAACTCGTTCAATTTTATGATATTGAAACAAAACAAATTGTTCGTACAATGGCATTGAGCCAGTGGTGCAATTGTTTTGATGTATCGAGCTTAACTAGTGATGATGAACACAATAGAAATAATCGTTTAATAGCATTTGGTACAAAAGACCGTTTAGTACAAATAAAAGATTGTAATTTAGGTACATTTCAAGATTTTATTAATAACAGTGATTGTATTAATTATGTTAAATTTTCTAAAACACATGCTTATTTGTATACAACTTCTTCGAACGAAATTTTTATCTGGAAAGTTCTTTTGTATTAAGTAGCTATAAGCATTCTTATACATCTGTTTTCCTCCATGTAAATGCTAGGTTTTTGTGTATTTTTCTTAAACTCTCTGTATGTTTTATTTGTATAGCTGTATAGAGTCAGCCATTAGTTTTACTGTTTGTATGTAATACTTCTGAAAGTGACAATAATAAAAGCAATGGTTTTTTTTCCAATTTCATATATACCTGATAAAGAGAAAAATATATTTTTGCTTTTCCTCCGATCAAAAGAACAGACAGACAAATAGAAGGTCCATCTTATATTCAAGTTAATTTTGTAACATATGTTAGTTTGTCAGGTAAATTTTTAAGAATCGGTATTGTCCAACAGACAGAGAAAAACGCTAATTCTTCTTCCCATTTTTTTTAAAAATATGTCTAACAAAGGAAATGTTTCATCAGAAATATGGTTGTATTACAGGAAGATGTTACCAACTCTAGAACAATAAAAGAAGACGAACAAAGAGTTACATAGATATAAGCCAAATAACAACAAACTAAGAAGAGAGACTGGAAAATACAGCCAATACCTTCAAGTTTTTTTTTCTAAAGGATAAAAGAAAAACTTCTTACGATGATACAACACTAACATTGACTTCTTCTTTCTTTGAAAGACGGAAATAAAATAAATAAAAATATTCCATGCATATGAACACTAACTGATTACACATAAGACACCAAAAGGATTATTTACATTAGACAAAAAAAAATTAAATACATCATATCATTATCTTTTAAAATTACAACCGCACACGTACAATAGAAATATATATGATATTTGACTAGACTACGCATGCAACAAACAAAGAATTAGAATGTATAAGAATAATACTAGACACACGTATATCATCATATAAAAGAGAAAAAAAACAACACCATTAAGAAATAAACTATCCTCATTAGCATTTTTAAACAAAAGAAAAAAATAACTACCGGAAAAAAAAATTAAAAGTGAAGTGGATTTGTCTAGTGTTCTGTAGTGGAAACAAGTTCGAATGATTTTCAAAATCAAACAACATGGGTAGTTTCCCGTGACTAGAGATTCTTTCCACCCGCTAACTAGGGAAAAACAGTGTGATTTTACAGGAAAATTAATGCATTTTAAAAAAAAAGATCGAAGATTAGGTTATGTGCATCATATACAGACAAAAAGAAAAAAAAGAGTAAACACTGTACGACAGTTCTCAAAGAAACAAATAGCATACTCATTAAATAAAATAGTAATATAACATTGTACACGTCAACCTTTCTAACATGAAGCTTTAGCGGAATATGATTCTATTGGTTTTTGTTTCAAAAATTGTTCACCCTTATAAAGAATAGGCACGTTGATCTTGCGAAAAAAAGAGAATGTAACACCACGTAAAACAAAACTTCTCCACATTACAACATAAAAACAAACTTGTTTTTAAAAAGAAAAAGAGATAAGAAAATAAAAATGTGTGTTTGTTGGCAAAATTGTCTTATGATTACTAAAATATAAGTTGAGAAGAAAAATGAGCGATCATCTAAATCTCCTTCTACGGATACATATTCAAACAATAATTTTTTCGATAAATTCTAAAAATCTTCTTGCATAAAGTTCTGGCTTAACGGTCGATATTTCGTCACCACCATATTTCATTGTTTTAGCTACATTCGCACTTTTCTTCTTCATGCCATAATAGGTAAAGTCAATAATAGCCATCCAATATAATTCACGACGAGAAGAATCTAGACAGAGAAAAACTCATAAAAAAAAAAGATAAATCAATAAAAAAATATTTTAAAACATTAGTTCCTATCTTGGTTAACTCAAATGAACTAAAACTTTCAAACACTTACTCTCAGAACTTCGGACCATAAATGTTTCATCATTGCATGATGCATCGTCATTGCCTGTCGTTGGACTTTCTAGAAGGAAAAAATTCCACACTTAAGCCTATTAAAAATTATAAAAAAAGCAACACATACCAGACCCGTCAGATGGACAATTGTTGTCACTTTCGTTACCAGATAAATCCGACGTTCCTATTTCATTTCCAGTTGACAATGTATATTCTCTTTCTTGTACTCCACCTTTCTCGAGATCATGAATTCCAATTAACAACGAGTAATCCATTAGATGTTGACTAACCAAAAACTAAAATAAAATAAAGTAGTTCGTCGTATTGCAACAATTTTTAACAAACATACATCAACATCTCGCTTTAATTTGTCCATGAATGCTTTCTTTTGTTCACCAATTTCAATGGTTCTTTTATCATTAATAAAATCGTTATCTTTTAATGTCGGACTGAATTTTGACTTTTCTTTGTCAGTTGCACTACGATCTACTGTTGAACCCTATAACGATACAAACTTATGTTAGCAAGAAATGATCATGCTTAATCATTCTTCGTACATACTTTAACGTCATATTTTGTGTGTATTCTTAGTTTACTGGATAGAACATTTCGCGTGACAAGAATATAATTTTCTTTATCATCCACAGTTAAACGGTACATTGCATAGAAATGAGGTAATAACGTGTCACCTTGTGTTTCAACAATATACTAAACAAGGAAAAGCAAGAGAAAACGTTAGATAGATACTATTGAAAAAAGTCTAATGAAATGAGTAGTAGAAACAAACTTCTAAATGCAAAATATCTAATACAACAACAGTGTTACAGAAGTACCACTTTCTAATACATACTCTATGATATTCTGGCAATATCTGATGTATTTGTTCGACATCTTCTTTAGAAATACATTTTAGTACAAAACGTCTGTCCGATGATAAATAAATGGGTAAATTTGACTTTGCTGGTTGATCCAGTGAAATTGGTGAGTCCGATAACGAATCTCGAAAACTACTATCGTGAAGTTTCCAATATTCTCGAAAAGCACGAAACACTAGTGGACAATATTCTTTTACTTTGAAATGACTCGGCATCACTTCTCTGAAGAAAAAAAAATAGTTAATAAGACATTGATTCGTGTTATACACTTTATTTCTCGTACTTATTGAAATTCTGGTTATCAGTACGAATTTTAATATAGGCTCTAAAATGTTCTGGAAGAAGCATAACAGGAATATTTACATTATCTAATTGGCGACTCTAAATAGAACAAAGTTGTTTAATACATAACAAAAAACAAAGGACAAACAAAAAATATATAACTAACCGTAAAATTTACTCCCCACATTAAAACAGACAGAAGTGGATCATTAGCACGAAATACTTTATGTTTTTGATGCTGAACCTTGAATTTTGATTTTGTTTTAATTTTATGGCCAGATTTAATTTTCGAAGACATATCTATATATAACAGCACAAAATAAAATATTTGATTTATATGTGAGTAAATAAAAACTGCTTTTTTGTTTCAGATAACCACTTAACAAAAAACAAAGAAATAATCTAAAACGAGAGACGAGTTTATGAGTCAATTCATGTTTAATCCTGGATAATATTATCTATTTTCTGTAATCAGGAAGCTTGAAGGGCATATTCCATGATAAACAACAAATCGATTTAAAGAAAATTTATCGAAAAAAATTAATGAAGATACAGAAATCTACGCGCATCTCGAAATCAAATTTAGGTCAAAAATGCATTATTGATAATAAAACTGATGTGCGTGTATATCTTTTTATTCTTCTCGTTAAGGAGCAAAAATGAAAGTTCAGTTCTACAATTAATTAGATTAGTAAAACAAGTAGACAACAGGCGAGATGTGACATTGGATGAATTATCGCCATTATGATCGTAGTATGGGTGTGTGATCGGAGGCCAAAGATGTGCTCATTTCGTGTACTATTTCGTTCTTTGCAAAATAAATTCATTGCATGAAACTTTCAAATTTGAATCAAAATAAAGTGGAATTTCATTTTATCTTGTGATTCTTTTCGGATATTAGCTATGGTGGCCGAGATATTCACCATTCTAAATTATAGAGGGTGCTCGATATGGTATAAGATTAGAACTTGGTTGCACTGTGGAAAAAGTCGCAAAACTCTTCTATTTTGTTATTTAAAGTTATTCAGAATATCGGTAGACACTATATTTGAAGTGGATGTGGGAAACTCAACTGTGTCTGAGACAAAGACTTACGAGGGAACATCGTCAGATGTACAACTCCAATTTCAGTGATATTGGGAGTATCATATCACCGAGAAGAAAAAATAAAGTTCATTTAGAGTTCTGGAAAAGTGCTTTTTCGTATTCAGTACACTCGATAATCCAATAGATTTTCCAGTTTTACTACTAGTAGTACTAGATAGATAGTGCTATCAAAAGTTTAGGAAAATTTTTCGAACAAAATGACAAAAATATTTCCATGGGAAAATATTATTAGTCTTAAAATTTTTCTTAAATTTTTGACGGCACTCCTCGCCAAAAATAGAAAATCTATTGGATTATCGAGTATGCTGAAATACGAAAAGGCACTTTTCCACAACTCTAAATGAACTTTATTTTTCTGTTGGTGATATGAGATACTATACATGGTCCTAGTAAAAAGCCTAAAAGGATTTCGGCCCCTATCACTTCTTTCAAAAGTTATAGAATTTTTAATTTTGCTTGTACAAGGCGTACCAACAGAAAGGACGGTATCTAATCGTCTTCGAACCTCAAACTTTCGTTCTTGATTATTGAAAACATTCTCTAGACTATCTAGACATCTAAAACAATCACAGAAAAAAATTTCATATCCCTACAACTTTGTTTAAATGAATTATACAGTTTTTCTTTTTCCGTTGGTACACCTTGTACAAGCGAAATTAAAAACTCTATAACTTTTGAAAGAAGTGATAGGGACCAGAATCCTTTTAAGCTTTTTACTAGGACCCTGTATAGTATCTATACCCTCAATATCATTGAAATTGGAGTTGTACATCTGGCAGTGTTTCCTCGTTAATTAAAATTAGGTTTATAGGCAAAGTAACAATTAATGATATTCTCAAATTTTTGGTCACGAACTTGCTTTAAAAATCAGGAAAATAAAAGGAGCAATAAAGGATCCTGGATTTGAGAATCAATCAAGTTAAAAAATAAAAAGTGCCATAAATTGGAAATTTGTATACGCATTGTTAGCAGCACGTTAATTCATGAAATAGTAACAAAAAATATTTTGGCGAATTGTATTTTATCTTAGTTTTCTAGAATGTTTTTAACGTTACTCTGTGATATTCCCAATATAATAGTGGAAATAGTGTCTTTACTGCTTGCCTAGGTCTGCTGTTTAAATTTTAAGTATATGCCTAAAGTCTAAGTGAGCAACGTCATAGTAGCAATACATTGTAACGACAGGACTGTGTGTGTGTTAGTGCTTTATTGTTATTATTGTACATACAAAGCCACGAGAGAAAAAAAAACTGCTGAACGAACTTCGTTCCTGGCAGAAAACGAAAAAAAAAAACAATTTGAATATACAGTTTAGACAAAAAATTTAGTTTTGAATTTTGAATGTTTACAACTTAATTTACTTCTTTGAAACACAAGGAAAGTAGAGAGGGAAACGAGAAAAGAAAAAAAGA